CTTCAATCAAGAAAGCAGAAGCAAAGAAAGAAGCCCCATATCCATCCTTTTCTTTACCCTTTACCGACGAGGATTTCAGTCGGAGAAAGTACTTCAGTCTAGAAAAAGTAGTTAGTTAGTTAGTTAAGGAGAATGATTGAATGAATTAAGAACATAGGTTACAGAGTGAACAACTTGAATTGAATGCTTGATCTTACAGTGAGTAGAAGACAAAAGCTAAGGTAAGGCGTGAAGCAGACAGACAAGAAAAGAAGAGTCAAATGACAACAGAATACTTTGACAGTGACAAACAAAGAGTATAAAGTCAATCATCAAAGGCAGGGGAAAGAAAGAGTGAATGCTCAGTCAATCAATCAGTAGGACAGGAGCTTGAAGAAGAGTCTTGAATGAAACACTCTAGCTTATTAATGCAGGAAGTTAGACTAGTTATTCAAAGACTAGCTAACTCTCTTTAGTCTTGACTTTCAAGAAGTCTCAGTATCTGTAGTTTACACCTCCTTCTTCCCTACGTCCGTAAACCATTATTTCGATTAGATATATTACCTAACAAGTAAAGAACTAAGGGAATGGAATGAATTAATGGTTCTTTAGTATGCCCGCCTCCTTCTCTTTCGTCTTCTTCTCTTGCTTGAGGATTGAATGAATGAAAAAGTAGTTGGTTAGTTCACAGTCTTTACTCTTCTTCCTAAAACTAGTCTTTAACTAGAAAGAACGTACAAGAGAATGAATATTCTCATTCATTCTCTTGCTACAGTCTTTAGCTTGTTGGTTCAGTAGTTTAGTTCGTAAACAAACACCTATTACAGAGTTCAATTCGTTTCTTAGTCTCCCTTCAAACAAAGACTGTAAAGAAAGAAGCGCATAGGGAAAGTATTGAATATGCGAGTTAATTAATAAAGAGAAGGTAAAGAAGACAAGAGAAGAAAGGATAGCTTCTAACCCCCTTTCCTTTTAAAGACTAGAAACCAATAAACGAACTCTCTTCTGGCTTTATTACTTGTTTTTTAGGTTTAATGTGAAGTTTTAGTTTGTCTTTCTTTGCTTTGTTGTTGTTCAATATACTAACTAAAAAGGTAACATGAATATACTAAAAAGGTAACCAAACTCTATACTAACAAAGAAAGGTAACTAACAATATACTTTAAAGGAAGGTAATATCGAATAGACAGAGTATTAAGGCTACAGCAATGGAATGGAATAGAATAGAACTTTCGGATTGAATGAGTGAAGTGAAGTAGGTTAGGTAAGAAAGAGCTTTCCTCCGAATTGAATGAAGTAGCTTAGCTCGGGTAATACCAGTGAGGGAGCTAGTTCAACCCCTGTTGTAGTTACCCTTCTTGTAATTGGAGAGGGAAGGCAGGAAGAGATTGGAGAGGAGAGGGCAAGAAGAGCAGCAGATCAAGTGTAGTCTTTACCCCTTTTTCAATCAGAAGAGAGAGTAAGTAGCTTCCTGGCAAGCAAGTTTGATTAGATTAATCTTTGCTTTCCTTTTAGTCTCCACTGGAAAGGAATTCAGAATAAGCAAAAGATAGGTTATGGATGGAGTGAACGAACGAACGAACTAGCTAGGAATCAATCGATTGGAGCGAAGGCACTTCTTCCTTTTTCTAGTGGTTACAGGGCAGCTGGTGAAAGAAGAGTTAATAGTTTTCCAGGTCATAGGTGAAAGAGTTTCTAGTTTTCCATCCAGGTCAGGTGAAAGAGAGTTAAAGAGAATTAAAAGAGTTCAGGATAATTACAAAGAGAGTTAAGGAGTAGATTACTTGTTCCAAGGATAGCGGAATCTGCTTACCTTTACTGATCTTCTTCAGTGTAAGTAGAAATACCCGATGAGAGCTCGCTGTGGAGCCTTACTTAGGATTGTAGAAGAACAAAAATACGGGGTAAGTTACGTTAAGTCAGTCCGAAGACTGCTTTCTCTTGTTCTAGAATAGCTAAAGCCCAGTTCACGAGGTTCAACTAATAGAGACTAGTTCATGAGCTTGACCCTCCTCTTCATCTTACATTGTTCAAGAAGAGACAGACAAAGGAAAGAGGCGTTGAGTCTATAATGAGTCAGACAGAGACCGATAAGTAGAGTGAGTAGTTAGTTACGTTAAGCGGAGAGAGTAGTTAGTTACATTAAGTCCTACGAAGAAAGAGGTTACGACCAGAGAGAGAGGAAAGACGGTGAAGCAAAGAGTTAAGGAGACAAAAGCTAAGCTAAAGTGCGAAGCTGCCAGACAGAATAACAAATACCAAGCTTTCCTTAAAGAATACTTTATTTAACAGTTAAAGCAAACAAAGAATACAAATTCTCTATCTGGTTACGGGACAGGGGAAAGAAAGAGTGAACGCATCTTGCTTAAGCCTTTGCTCTTGAGTCTTGAAACAAAAACTATTCCTTCCTCTTATGCAGTTACTTTGATTAGTTATTCAAACATCGTAAACTCTTTGGCTTTAGTCTGACAGTTCACTCTAACGAATCAATCAATATTTAGTCCTTTTTCAATTACAAAGAAATCTCGAATCACAAAGGAATCTCATTTGAATCACAAAGAAATATTGTAAGTGGTCAAGGGGGGAGAAATATATCAATATTCTTTATTATATTTATATTTGTAATAGATTTTAGCTTTACCAGGCTTGCTTGTAATCCATCTTGTTGTTTGTTTTCTTGTTCCTTTGTCTTGCTCATGAATAGAGTTTTACTTGAACTTTTTGTAGTATGTAATAAATGTAGTTGTTTTTGTCTAGCTAGAGCTTTACCTTCCTTATTGTAAATGTGGTGTTCTAGACTAGCTAGAGCTTTACCTTCCTTACTGTAAATCTTGTTATTGGTCTTCTCTTCGTCAAGGTAGTAACTTTACCTAACTTTCCTATAATGTTGTTGTTGTCGTCTTCTCTTCTTAAGGTTAGTAACTTAACTTGACCTTCTTCTCTCTAAAGGTTATAACTTGACCCTTCTTTTCTTTTAAAGGTTATAACATGATCCTTCCTTTCTTCTTTCTAAAGGTTAGTAACTTTACCCTTCCCTTCTTCTTTTAAAGGTTATAACTTGACCTTCTTTTAAAGGTTAGTAACTTTCACTTCTTTTCTGTAATGGAAATGTACCTCTTGCTCTCGAAAAGCTAGAGCCCGGCCGTAATGTAAATCTTGTTGTTGCTCATGACAAGCTAGAGCTTTACCCTTCCGTAATGTAAATTGTTGTTGTTCGTCACATCAGAAGACTTGACCTTCTTGCCCGTAATGTATCCATAGTTCTTCTTGACCAGAGGTAAGCTTTACCCCTCCATAATGTATACAAACGTTGTTGTTCTTTGATGACTAGCTAGAGCCCGACCGTAATGTAAATCTTGTTCTTCCTTCTAGATAAGCTAGAGCTTTACCCGGCTGTAATGGAAATGTAGCTCTTCCTTCATGGCTAGGGGAAACTTGACCTGGCCTTAATCTAAATGTAGCTCTTTTTGACCAGAGGGAAACATTACCCTTCCTTAATCTATATGTAGCTCCTCTTGAGACTAGAGGTAAGCTTTACCCTTCCCTAGTAATTCATGTATCCACAGCTCATCTTGACTAGAGATTAGCGTTACCCTTCTTTTGCTTGTAGTAATGATGATGATGTTGTTCTTCTCCTCGGCAGGTTACTTTACCTTCTTGTAATTAATATTCTTGTTGTTGTTATAGACATAAGGTTAGCTTGACCCTTCTGTAGTAATTTATGTATCAGTAGTTCTTCTTGATGTCAGATTAGTAGAGATTAGCTTTACCCTTCCGGAGTAATTAGAATATTGTTTGTTGTCTGTCTTGGTTGCTTGCTCTATATGTCAGTGAGCAGCTGCTTCTCTTTCTGTATGTTATGAATCTTGTCTTGTTGTTTGGCTTGTTCATGACGTTATATTACTTTACCTTTCTGTAAATGTAAATGTTTGTCTTGCTCATGACTAGCTAGAACTTGAGAACCTTCCTGCAAATGTTCTTCTTCTTCTTCTAGAATAGCTAAAGCTTGAACCTTCCCTAATGGAAATGTTGTTCTTGGCAGGTTAGTAGTTTGACCTTGACCTTCTTGCTCTTGCTCTTGACCTTGACCTTCTTGCTTTTGGAATGTAGTAAATGTTGTTCTTGTTGTTGTTCTAGCCGTTAGATTAGCCAGCCTTGACCTTTCCGTAATGTAAAATGCTTCCATAATAGCTGGTGCTTTACCCCTTTTTGTAATGTAAATCTTGTTCTTTCGAAATAGCTGTAACTTGACGCCCTTCTATAATCTAAATGAAGCTCTTCCGTAATAGATGTAGCTTTACCTTTCTGTAATGGAAATGGTGTTCTTCCGGAATAGCTGGAGCTTGACTGACCTTTCTGTAATGTCTAATGCTCTTCTTCTTGTAAGGTAAGCTTGAATGAACCTTCCGTAGTAATGTATCCGCAGTTCTTCTTGACGTTAAATTAGCTTTACTACCTTTCCGTATGTAATTCATCTTCTTGTCTATCTTGCTTGGTTGCTTGCTTGCTCTATAGTAGCTATAGGAGAGTGAGTGAGCAGCTTCTCTTTCTGTTCTTTATGTAATGAATATCTTCTCTTGTTCTTTGTCGTCACGTCAGGTCAGCTTTACCCTTCCGTAATCTTGTTGTGTTCGTCACGTCAGCTTGAGCTTTCTGTATGTAGTAATCATATTTTTTTGTAGTTAGTTCTTGTTCGAGACTAGCTAGAGCTTGCTTGCCTTTTTAATGTAGTAGTTGTCTTTCTCGTCAGGTTAGGTTAACTTGACTCCTTCCCGTGTAATGAATTGAATATGTTATTGTTGCCTACTTGGTTGGTTGGTTGCTTGTCTGCTGCTTGCTTTCTTTCTTGTCAGGTTGGGTTAGCTTGACCTCTTTAGTATGTAATGAATGTTGTTGGTTGGCTTGCTTCTTGCTTGCTCCCGAGGTAACTTCTAAGAGAGTATTTGATCTTCCTGTATGAATGTCAATTAAGTTCTTCTCTTCGTCAGGTGAGTTACCTCTTCTTGCTTGTAATTCAGTTGCTCTTCCTTCGTCAGGTCTTACTTGAGCTTCCTTCTCATACTCTTGCTTCTTGTTCTAGACCAAAGAGAGGTTAGCTTGAACTTCCTTCCTATAATAAATCTTGTTGTTCCTATTGTCTCGTCAAGTTAGTAGCATGACCTTCCGTCGGGATGTAATAAATCTCTTTCTTCTTCTCTTGCAGCTTTCTCGACAAGTTAATGAGTGAGCTTGACTGTGACCTTCTTGTACTAATTCATATCTACATCTCTTGCAATACCTACTTCTCTTGCTTTCTATAGAGGTTATGTTGTAAGGGTTATAGGTTAGGTTATTAGGTAAGAGTGTTATAGTAGCATCATTACCTTCCCAGATGTAATAAATCTTCTTGTCCTTCTTTCTCGGCAAGTTAATGAGTGAGCTTGACTGACCTTCTTGTATGTAGTAATTCCTATCTGCTTCTCTTGCTTTACGGATTGAATAAGTTGTGTTGTTGGTTCAGTCTTTCTTTACTCGTCACGTTAGGTTAGTTAGCATTACCCTCTTGAATAAATCTTCTTCTCTTGCTTTCTCCTCAATTAGAGGATTTTAAAGGTGTAACATAATAGGTTGTCCTCATCAAGGAATAGAGTAGAGCAGCTTGTAGGCAGTAAAGCTTTAATTAATGAGAAGGAGAGCTAGCTTCTTAATGAGTAAGTAGTTCTAAGTTCAAGTAGAGAGTAGGTCTAATCTAAAGTAGATAGGGAGTATCGAGTTCTAAGTGTAATGTAAGTAGTAGGGAGTAGGATAATAAGTATAGAGTTCTAAGTGAAAGAAGTAGAGAGTAAGTCGTAAGTGTCAGTATAGAATAGGGAATGGTTTTTAGGTTTCGGTGTAATAGCCTGTTCTATTCAGTCTTGAATTTCTCTTTCTCTTTCAGTTACTGCTGAGTCTTGACTTGATCAAAGACTTGCTAAGGTAAATCAGGGAAGTATAGTATAGTGATTTCGTTCAGTAGAATGAATCTTTAGGATTTACTTTCAACACTTCAATCAAACACTAGAAAAGGTAAAGTAAGGTAAAGTAAAGAAAGAAAGAAAGAAGAGCATAGGGTAAGGAGAATCTATAAATCAATATCTTACCGACAGTTAAAGGAGAGAGAAAGTAATAGTTATGAGGCATGGTGGAGCAGACGGAAAGACGAGAAGATCAGAGGTCCGGAGCTGCCAATTCCATTATGAGATAGATAGATAGGTGAATGGGCACACTCACTTCTAGTGGTTACGGTTTGAGGTCTCTTTGACTTTGGGCAATCCGGTGTAAGAGTAAACGATTAGGAAGGAGTATTTCTCTTTAACTGAGGTCTCTTTGCCTTTGAGTTTGGGCAATCTGGTGTAAGAGTAAACGAGAAAGAATGGTTCGGCTTGACTTCCTTTTGGTACGGTTCAGAGGTTGGTTCTCTTTGCCTTTGACTTTGGGCAAGGTAAACTCTCACTCTAAGCTTTCTTTACTTTTAGTCTTTCACTAAGGATAGGATAGTCTCTGTTGGTTTAGCTTCTTCGTCAGGTAAGACTTCTGGTTCAGGAGCTTAATCTCTCATTGACTCGTAAAGGAACTGATTCCTCTTGCGGGCAGGTTCTTCATTCTAGCTTTTGACTTACCTAGTTCAATCTCAAGAATATATATCGGACAAGGAAAAGGAAGGGGCGAAGCAGACAGACAAGAAAAAGGAGGAGAGGGGCGCGGGCAGCTATTAGTTATCTTTATAGTTAGTTCTAGTTATCTCTCTTAGTTAGGGAGGAGGTAAGGAGGCTATTTGACAATCAATTCTTTCTATTTCTTTAAGGTAAGGGATAATGATAACGCTTCTTTACTTACTCTGTCTTGACTGTTCAGTCTAATTAATCTTTAGGTCAATGCCTCTTCCTTCCAACACACCAAGGAAGAAAGAAAGCATCAATCAATATATAATAGTATGACCTAACCTGTAAACTCTCTATAATAAAGAGTGAAGTCGAGACTGACTGTGACAGATCATTAATCAATCAATAGTTCAGGGAATAGCAGGGAAAAAGTAAAAGCAAGCAGTTCAAGACAGCCCAGCCCGGGCCTGGAAACTCTCTTCTTAGTCTTTACTTGATGAGTCTCGGTCAGGGAATACATATCGTACTACTAGAGGTGTTAGTTAGTTCTCTCTCTTTCGACAGGTAAGACAGAAAGAGGTTCTCCTTTTTATTATTACAATCTCTAATTTTTCCTTCTCTCGTTGACTGTAAACTCAGGACAAGGTTCATGGGAAGGGTCATAAGTTTACAAGACAGTCAATTCAAGACGAATAGGTGAATGAAGGAACAGGTTAAGCCAAGCTAGCCAAAGCAGGTAAGTTTGTGAGCAGTTAAGCCAGAGCAGGTAAGTTTGATTGATTGATTCTCTAACTAAATATTATGAAGTAGATTGTAAAGAAAGGTTAGCCTGAACTTTCTGTCTGTAATAAATCTTGTTCCTCTTGTAGGTTCATGAGTTTATCTTTCCATCTGTAATTCGTATTTTGTCTTCTTCTTTCTCTTTCTCGAGACGTCAGGTACATTTACCCTTCCTGTAATGTAAATCTAGTTCTTTCTCTAGACCAGAAGAGGGTACTTGACCTTACAATGCTGTTGGCTTGCTCGAAGACGTTAGGTTAACTTGACCCCTTCCAACCAGCCTATAATGAATATCTTGTTCTTCCTTGCCTGCTGCTTGCCTTCTCCAGACGTTATTAGGTTATTAGCTTTACCCCCTTTCCTGGATGTAATGAATCTTGGTGGCTTGCTCCAGAGGTGACTTATAAGAGAGGACTTGACCGACCCTTTTCTATAATGTAATAATCTGATTCTTCTTCTTGTCTCGTCAGGTAAGCTTTACCCCTTTTTGCTTGTAATTTAGTTGTTCTTCGTCAGGTCTTACTTTACCTTCCTTCCTTTAATGAATTGAATCTTTCTCTTCTTCTTGTTTGAGACCTTAGGTTAGCGTAACTCTCCCTCTCCTGTAATCTAATTATCTTGTAGTTCTTCTTGTCTCGTTTAATAGCATTACCTTCTCGTAATTAATCTTCTTCTTCTTGTGCTCTAGAAGTTCATGAGCTTGACCTTGACCCTTCTTTCCCTTAATGTAATAATCTTCTTCCTCTTCTCTTGCTCCAGAGGTGAATGAGCTTGACCTTGACCCTCCTGTAATTCATAATATTGTTGTTCTCTTCTTCTCTTGCTTTGTCTTCGTTACTTAGAGGAGAGAACTTTCCGTAATTAAACTAATCTTCTTCTTCTCTCGGCAGGTTAAGTAAGGTTACTTAGAGGATTGAAAAGTAGTAACTAACTGACATAGGTTGTTTTCGTCAGGGAATGAATGAATAGAGCTTAATGAGTAGACAATTGGAAGTAGAATCTCAGTACAGTAGGGAGAGGGAAGAAGTTTAAGTAGGCAGTAGTCAGTTCTTTCAGTAGCGGCAGTAGTTAGTTCAAGTATAGGCAGTAGTAAGTTCAAGTATAGGCAGTAGTCAGTTCTTCCAGTAGAGGCAGTAGTCAGTTCTTTTTCAGTGCAGTAGTTAAGTGTAAGAGTTGAAAGTGAAGTTCAGTAGCTAGCTAGCTTGATCTTGAGTCTTTACTTGTTCCTTCCAAGCAAGAAGAGAGAGAAGTGCGGTCAGTAGTTCAAGATCATAAGTAGTAGTTAACAGTAGTAGTTCAAGATCATGTAGTAGTTTAGGATCATAAAGAGTAAGGCTGACGAAGAGGAAAGAGAAGGAGCAGCTTTACACCTCCTGAAAGAAGTAAAAGAATGAATCTTGTATCGAATACGTTCTTTATGCTAAACAAGTAGTTAAGGATTGATTGACTTCTTCAAGAATAGAATAGAATTAACACAGGTTATGGAGCAAAGACAGAGAAAGAGAAGGTTCAGTCTCATTCTTCTTTAGTTTCGTCTTTTGTCTTTCCTTTCTTACAGGAGAGTAAGTTCAAGAAAGAAGGAAAATGGTGTCGGTTGAGGAATCAGAATGGGGCCAAGCCGAGGGTCAGGTTTCTTCTTCTTTTCTTACTGTTCCTGGTTCAATAGTGAAGGAGAAGAAATAAGGAATCTTTCTCTTTTACAGTTCCAACCCTCGTTCAAGAGTGAAATCAGGTTCAGGGGAAGGTTTTCTCTTGAGGATTGACTTGAAACACTTTCAGGTTCAGTAGCTAATGAATTGACTCTTTCTTTCACTGTAAAGGAGAATGAATCGAGAGTAGAGTCTTTCCTTTCAACACTTTCATGTTCAGTAGCTAATGAATTTACTCTTTCTTTCACTGTAAAGTCTAATTAAGCTTGAATTGAGTCTTGTCTCTCATTAATCTTTCTTATCTTACAGAGGAGAGTAACTTCAATCAGTACAATGCAGGGTTACGAGAAGAGGGAGTAAGTAGCGAGAGGAGAAAGATCAGAGCTAAGATTCCCAGTTTACTCTTTTGAAGAGAAAGAATAGAGACAATGAATAAATACGTTCAGCTAGCAGTTTCAGATCTAGAGGGAAAAGGAGAAGAAAATGAATAAGGATCTAATTAAAACCTATTTATGAATAAAGAAGAGCAAACAAAGCAATGAGAAAGACTGAGTGCAAGAAGGAAAAGTAGCTCAGGAGGAAGTAGGGACAAAAGAAAGATCAGTGTATGAATTCCATAGGGAAAGGAGAGAGATAGTTGTAGAGGTTCTGTCTCATTAATATCTTTCTGACTGGAACTGTAAATAAAGGACAGGTTAGTTAGATAAAGGGTAAAGAACAAGAGAAGGATAGCGGAATGAAGGAAGAAGACAAGACAAAGATAGAGTGGTTGAAGAAAGAGAAAGATCCTTAATCTGGACTCTTTACTAGAGAGGAAGTAAAAGAGTTCCATCAGGTTCAGTCTAATCCAGTCTCTCTCTTTTCGTCAGCTAAAGGGGAAGAGAAGAAAGAAATAGGTGCTTGTTAGGGAGAAGGTAATAAATAATAGAGAGAGGTTCATGAAGGAGAATGCATGTTTCGTCTCCTGAGGCTTTACCTCCTGAAAGAAAGAATAGGTGTAGTAGTTCCATTCGTAAACTCTTTCGTCTTTCTTTACTGGGGCTGAAAAGAAAAGAGATAGTTCCACTCGATAGTTCAAGAAGAAATTGGAGAAAGAGCAGTTCCAGAATAAATGCGTATAGGGGAAGGAGCGAAGCTGTGAAGACTGTAAGGAGAGGAATTCAATCTGGTTCATCAGTAATAGGCCATCTAGGAGTGAAGCAGTGAAATCAGGGACAAGTTATTAAGTTCAGTTCCTAAACAAGAAGAAATAAGGAGTTCAGTCTGAACTTTCTTTTTCAGGCAGTAGAGGGTCAGGGGGAGGATAACGAATCCTTCTTACAGGAGGGAGAGAGAAAAAGAAAAGAGTTCAATCAATAACGAGAAAGAGAAGAGAAGAAATAGGTGTTCAGTAGTTCCAGAAGGAAAAGGAGTTCAATCAGGAAAAAGGTTGAAGTTTCGGCTTGACTTAATAATTACCGACCAAGTCTTGGAATAAATAGGATTTCGGAGTTCAAGAAGGATTGAATATCCTCCCTCCACTATAAAGGTTCAATAGTGATTGAGCCGAGTTTAATGTTCAAGAAGGAATCAAAGAATGCATCTTGTTGAGTCAAATGAATAAGGCAATGGAATTGTTTACCCTTCAGGGACAGAGTAAATGAATTAGCGGCTTTACCCAATGAAGAAAGAGAGAGGAGCGCAGCCAACCACTTTACATACAGTCTTTGAAGGGGAAGGAGTAAGAGGAGAAAGAATCATAGCTGAAAGAAGAAGATATTCCTGTCTTGTAAATGAATTAGATACTTCACCTAGTT